CACTTCCTGCTTTTTCTGTTTATGTCATACTGAGGAATGGAACCCAGGACTTCATGCATGCTTAGGCAAGCACTGTACTACTAAGACATTCCCAGCCCTATTTTTTTTTTTTAATGGTCTTGAACTCAGGGTCTGGGTGTTGTACTCTACCACATTGAGCCACAGGTCCACTTTTATCTTTCCTGGGGCTATCCTCAGATCTTAGCCTCCTAAATAGCTAAGATTACAGGCATGAGGCACCCACTGGTGCCCAATTACTTTTATGGCAGCCCTAACACAGGCCCTTAAGCTACCTCTTTCACTGTGTCAAGCACTATTTCTCCAAACCTGTTATAGGCTACAGCCTCCTGGCTGTCTCCATTCACACACCTCTCACAGCTCTCAGTGTGACTGCTCTTCCTTCAGGGTCCCCAGCTCAGTGAGGGTCCCCTCCTCACAAGCCAAAAGTCCAGTCATCAATCTGGTTCTCACTTCTCCATTCCTACTTTGTATTGGAAAGCTTTATCCATTCCATCTCCTAAATCTTTGTTTCTTAGGGTTTTTTTTTAACTTTGAAAATTTCAGAACATCCACTACCCTCCCCCGACAAAAAAACCTAGAAAAGAATAACAACATTTTTCACAAAATCTGCAATTTGTTATTTTCTCTTTCTCTCCACATCCATGGAATCTGCATCCCTGGATTCAGCTACCTCAGATATTAGGGGAAAAAAGATTACTGAACGTATATAACCTTCTTGTCATTATTTTCTGAACAATACAATAATCATTTACCTATCGTTCACTCTGTGATAGGAATTAGGAGTAATGTAGAGATGATTTGCAGTATATGGAAGATGTGTACAGACTATTAGGGGAATACTAATACTTGAGCGTCCACTGATTTTGGTATCTACAGGGCTGGTGGAACCAGTCTTTTTTTCCCAGATACTAAGGGACAATTCTATATACTTTTTCCCTCCCTGAACCACCTGAAAGTAAATCATAAACAACATGCTATTTCACCTTTAAATTCTTAGTATGCATTTACTGACAATAAGGATATTCTACCTTGATAACCTGATACCTCAGTAAAAATCTTACATTTAAAAATTAACATTAATGCAATCTAATCTACCATACCTATTTTATTTTTTTACCAGGCAGGGTGGTAATTCTAGCTACTCAGGAGGTAGAAACAGAAGAATTATGAGCCCAGGAAAAGTAGTGAGACCCTGTATCAAAAACAAAGTAAGAGCTAAAGGGCTGGGAAATGCTTTTCTAGCATGTTTGAGGCTCTGGGTTTAATCATCATTACCCAAAAAAAGGATCTTTAATTTATCCATATATCTAGGATCTTATCAAAGTTTGTACCTTGCACTGATTAGGTACTTACGTTTTGTTTGTTTGGTCATGAGACTTGAACTCTGGGCCTAGGCACTGTCTTTCAACTCTTCAGCTCAAGGTTAGTGCTCTACCACCTGAGCCACAGCACCACTTCCTGTTTTCTGAGTGGTTTATTGGAGATAATGAGTCTCACAGACTTTCCTTCCTCAGGCTGGCTTTGAACTGTGATCCTCAGATCTCAGCCTCCTGAGAATCTAGCATTACAGGCATGAGCCACCAGTGCCTGGCCATAAGTACTTATTTTGAGGTTCTTTTAGAACTGTCTCCAACATTATCTTTTTCTTTTCAGAACTGGAAAACGAACCCAGGGATGGCCCCTAGCTTCCTAGGCAAGCGCTCCACACCTTGAGTCAGACCCCCAATTTCTCCATGTTTCCTCTTTTTCTTGACAATACTGGGGTTTGAACTCAGGCAGGGCCTTGTTCTTCCTTTTTTCTCAAGGCATACTTTTGTTGTTGTTTTGATTGTGACAATCCTAGGGCTTGAACTCAGTCTCTAATTCTTGCTTGGCTTTTTCCACAAGCACTTAAGACCATATCTCTACCACTTGAGCTATACCACCACTTCTAGTAAAACAATTATATACACTGGCTTTAAGAAGCATTATTTCACCAACAATCTATGCATTAATGTCAATGATCAAACAGGGTCAAACACAATGGTTTACCTTTGAAGCTATGAATGTTGATGCACACAAGTAACCCCAACACTTGAGAGGCTAAAACAGAAGGATGCTGAGTTTTAGAACAGCTTGGGATACATAACAAGTTCCAGGTCAGGCTAGGCTTTATAGAGACTATGTCTTGGGGCTGGGAAGGTGACTCAGTGGTAGAGCGCTTGCCTTGCATGCATGAGGCCCTGGGTTCGATTCCTCAGCACCACATAAGCAGAAAAAAAAGAGCCAGAAGTGGTGCTATGGCTCAAATGGTAGTGCACTAGCCTTCAGCTGAAGAGCTGAGGGACAGTACCCAGGCCCAGAGCTCAGGCCCCACGACTGGACCCCCCCAAAAAAATTTTTTTTAAAAAAATAGAGACTATGTCTCAAAAAAACAGAACAAAGAGTTGGGCGCTGGTGGCTCATGCCTGTAATAGTTACCTAGGAGGCTGAGATCTGAGGATCCAGTTCAAAGCCAGCCTGGGTGGGAAAAGCTGTGAAACTCTTATCTCCAATAAACCACCAGTAAACCAGAAGTGGCACTGTGGCTCAAGTGATAGAGCACTAGCTTTGAGCTGAAGAGCTGAGGGACAGTGCCCAGAGTTCAAGCCCCATGACCGCATGAAAAAAACAAACAAACAAAAACAGAACAAAGAAAAAGAAAAAAAAAGAAATATTTTGCTAGGCAAATGCCAGGGGCTCACACCTGTAATCCTAGCTACTCACGAAGCTAAAAATCTGAGTGGTGTTTTGGAGATAAGAGTCTCACAGACTTTCCTGCCCAGGCTGGCTTTGAACTGGGATCCTCAAATCTCAGCCTCCTGAGTAGCTAGGATTACAGGTATGAGCCACTGGTGCCCAGCTGAGAAGAAACCATTTGACTTTGAATGTGAAGTAGGCTTCAACTCAAAACTATATTAGTGATGCAGAAGATACTATGTAATACTCTAGGGAAATAAAAGAGGTATGGATTTTTTGTGATTTTGTTTTTTTCCTGATGGAGATCAAACCTAAGGCTTTGTGCTTACTAGGCAAGAACTCTAAGCTGTATCTTGTTTCATTATTTAGTCCAGGATATATTTGAACTATGATCATTCTTCCTCCAACCTTCCAAGATTGGGATTACAGACATTACAGATCTGTGCCATTTCAGTCTAGCCAATATATATATATATATATATTTTTTTTTTTTTTTTTGGGTCCGGTCGTGGGGCCTGAACTCTGGGCCTGGGCGCTGTCCCTCAGCTCTTCAGCTCAAGGCTAGCGCTCTACCACTTGAACCACAGCGCCCACTTTCGGCTTTTTTCTTTTTGCTTATGTGGTACTGAGGAATCGAACCCAGGGCCTTGAGCATGCAAGGCAAACGCTCTACCACTGAGCCACCTTCCCAGCCCCAATATATATTTTTTTTCTTGAAGAAAAACTATGGAGTAAAAATTTAATAGATAATAAATGTTACTTCTTTCAAGATATGGATTAAAGGTATAGGCTTCAGAGTTAGATGTTGAGTTCCTAGGCTGATTTCCCCAGAAATGTTTTGAAGACTTATGAAAATGCACTGAACTGTTTTTGTTTTTTAACACATTTTTCTTAACTATGAGAACTGCATCCTTGCTGTTTGAAGATTTGCTTCATTTATTCTCCCTCTGCTGGCTGATTTTGAACTACCACATTCTAATAGACTAGTTAACCTACCTGAGCTGAAATTGAAATCATTTAACAAATATTTACTAAGCATTTTTTTCATTATGTACTATGCATTGTTGAATCTTAGGTATACTAGAATGGGGCAAACACAGGAACCCTGACCACATTTATCATCTTGTACAGGGATATAAATCATTTATGTATCTTGAGCAGGTGCTATAAAGGAAAAATGCTATAGAAAAAGGGGAGAGGAACCCTAACTTATGTGGTGGGAGTAAGAAAGACTTCTTTAGAGGGACATTTAAATCTAAAGACCTACATGCCTTGAGCTAGTGACAACAGCTTTGAGGCTAGAAAGTTGCATAGTTGTGGTAGAGTTTAAATTTCATCTGCAGCAGGTAACAAACGGAGCACTTCCAGTTTCGCATCGTTTAAAAGATTGCCAGGAAGGTCAGGGGTTAGTGGTAGAAAACATTGCTCAGTTAGCTTGCAGAACTTTAAACCCCAATCTCCATTTCCCCCTGCCCTTCCACCCCCCCCCCCCCGCCAAAAAGAAAAATCACAGAGGAAAGAGATAAAATATTGACTTGAGAGGCATCCGGTGATTGTACTTAGGATAATCCTGTCTACTAGCTTGAGTGTCACGCGCAGAGGATGTTATTTTGGAGAATAACACTAGGGGAAAAAAGGGATATTTGCAAAGAAAATTTCAAAGCAAGCTTGGGCCGGTGAGCCAACACCGGCTCACGCCTGTAATCATAGCTACTCAGGAGGCTAAGATCTGAGGTTCAAAGCCAACCCGGGGGAGCAAAGTCTGAAAGGCTCTTCTCTCCAATTAAAACCCAGAGCTGCAGTAGAGCACTCTAGACCTGAGCAAACCTCAGGGCCAGCACCAATGCCCCGAGTTCAAGACCCAGCACTGGTTTAAAGAAAAAAAAAAGGAACAAAAGAAAAGAAAAAGATTCAGAGCAGTCGGAGAGGGCAAGGACACAAAAGCAGGACGGTTTCCCCAATTCCAGGGCAGCTCCCAGGAGAACCGCACTCCGCTTCTGGCTTCCTCACCAGATGCAAGGGCCGGGGAAACGCGCCGGGGCTCCCACAGTGACAGGCACGAAGGCCCGGAGCGTGGAGCAAAGACAGGCAGGCAGCGAAGGAGCGAAAACCTCACTACTCAGCGACGGGTCTACGTAGCGGACTCACCAGCGCCGCCCAAAGCTCAAGTCCGCGAACAACCTGCCCAGACGCAGCACAGCGTCAGCAGCGCCGCCTCTGAGGCGTTCACTTCCGCCGTCTCCAGTGCCTCCCAATCTCGCGAGAACTCGGAGCGCTATGTGACCTCGGGTAAGCGGAAGTCAGGCCTCTTTTCCGTGGCGCCTCCCGCGCGAGCAGCTGCTTCGCCATGAAGGTACGCGGTGGTAGCGGCTGTCTGAATTGACTTAGGGAACTTGTGTCTGGCCTTAGCACTCTTAGCGGGGTCCTGGTGCTCTGAAAACCCGGATCTGGGTAGGAAAAGGTCTGAGGCAGGATAAAGCTCTCTTTTTGGGGACCCGTCCTCCTGGGGGTGAGCGGATGGCGGACGATTGCAGCTAGACCTCCGGTCGGCTTGGGAAGCGCCATGGCGGCGCCCTCATTGCCCATCCGGGGCGGACGTGGGTCTTGGGGCCTAGTGTGCGACAAGCCTGTGGTTCGGCTCTTAGACCAGTTACGGCGAGTTCCTTGCTTTGGGACGATGAGGGACTGCAGAGTGGCGTCCCTCTGGGGTCTGAGGCAAGCGTGCGTCCTGCTACTAGTCGCCCATTCTCGTGCTTGTAGTAAAATCACTTTACGTCTCTAGCAGTGGTATAGCCGTTGTGTGTGGCTCTACAGTTTTCTGTGTGAGTGGCTTCTAAGCTATGTTTCCCTTTAAAACCTTAGCTGAATATCTCCTTCCCAGCCACTGGCTGTCAGAAACTCATTGAAGTGGACGATGAACGCAAACTCCGTACTTTCTATGAGAAGCGGATGGCCACAGAAGTTGCCGCTGACGCTCTGGGTGAAGAATGGAAGGTAAAAAAAAGTTGGCTCTCGAATTATGGCAGTCATAATGGGAGAAGGCACGATTAGTTATTTGGAGTGAAGCTCAAATTTTGGTTTCTGTACTTGGGCCTTAGGTTACTTCCAAGTGTCAGTTGATGTAGTAGAAGCGTCACTTGGTGGACTTGTCCATTGCATTTAGCTGGAAAACTAACATGAATTATAGTATTTGCTACAGTTATCATGCCAATGCCAAATGGTCAGTTATCCTCCAAAGAATTAAGTGCAAGAAGAGGTGTAATTTGTTTTTTGCTCATTAGTAAATTGGTGTATACATTTTTTTTGTCATAGGGCTTTCTCTTGGAAAACATGTTAGAAAAAATGTAAGTTGAAAGACATTTGCTAGATACCTGGCAAATTGGAAATGAAAACAATATTGGCAGTAGTGGTGCTGGAGTTTTAACTCTGCTTCATGCTCCAGTTGAGGCATGCCCTGAACGTTCAACTTGGCTTTAGTGAGCTGTAAATTGTGTTTTAGAAGTGAATCCGAATATTAGCATTAATATGTCATTTTATATTCATGCAGGGTTATGTAGTCCGAATCAGTGGTGGGAACGACAAACAAGGTTTTCCCATGAAGCAAGGTGTTTTGACACATGGAAGAGTTCGCTTGCTACTGAGCAAGGGGCATTCCTGTTACAGACCAAGAAGAACTGGAGAGAGAAAACGCAAATCTGTTCGGGGTTGCATTGTGGATGCCAATCTGAGTGTTCTCAACTTGGTTATTGTAAAAAAAGGTGAGTCTTATCCCAAAGTCCAATTTTCATATTGACTTGTCCCCATGGCTTTCTTATTTATATAGTCTGTGCATTAGCCAGTGAGCTTCCTTACTAGTTTTAACTACAATTCAACATAAACCATAATTACGAAATGTTGAACCCTAAAACATTTTGTCTTGTTTCCTAAGGAGAAAAGGATATTCCTGGACTGACAGATACCACTGTACCCCGCCGCCTGGGACCCAAACGGGCTAGCAGAATCCGCAAACTTTTCAATCTCTCTAAAGAAGATGATGTCCGCCAGTATGTTGTTCGAAAACCCTTGAACAAAGAAGGTAAGTGGAATTTTGAAATTTGAGCTTGTGTAAATAGTGATTGGTCAGATTTTTTGTTTAGGTAACTTACCAATGTTAAGCTCGTTACCTCAGACTTAGGAATGCCAAGGAAGATGAAAAATAAAGGTGTTAGTATTTTTACCTACGCTTTCTTTAAGGTTTTCATATCAAGGATCTAATTATTAGTGCACTGGGATGGCTAAAAATGAAATAAAAGCAATGCTTTTTTTCTACTGCAATTTAAACTGGTTTTCTGTTGCTAGTAATAGTTTAGCAGAATGAAAGTGAGATGTTGCAAAACTTCGGTATCATAATGAAAGGGTATAAAGTTTGGGTTTGGGGGAGAAGGGTTGGTGCCGGTCCTGGGACTTGGACACTGTCCCTGAGCTGCTTTTTTAAATTGTTGTTCAAGGCTAATTAATGCTCTACCACTTGAGCTACAGCTCCACTTCTGGCTTTGAATAGTTTCCTATCTGGTCTGGCTTCAAATCAAGGTCCTCAGATCTCAGCCTCCTAGAGTTGCTAGGATTACAGGCATGAGCCACCAATGCCCAGCTGGAGGTTTTGATGTATATGTGTATATATAAATACTGTACAGAGGGGTTACAATTACATGAGCAAGGTAATAAGTACATTTCTTAACAAGCATTGTTGCCTCCTCCTTTGTTTCCCCTTACTATCCCTTCCCATCTCCCGAGGTTTTGTAATTTTAAGAGCATATATCATGTTCATTATGCAACATGCTCCCCACCAGAGTGGGAAGGGTCCAAACCAGTGATGCATAGCAGTAAATTCTCTATAGAGAATAGGGTGCATTTTTTTTCTGACATGTCTGGAAATGTGTGGGTTTTGTTGTCAGGCATTTTATCACATAAAATTGTTAGGTATGTTCTTTGGTCAAACCAAATATTTAGGCACCTATGTAGAACAAGCAGACAAAGTTCTAACTAAGATAAGTCTCGATCCTGTCCAGGCTGGGTACAAACTGCAGTCCTCAGATATTAATCCCCCAAGTAGCTAGGATTAGAGATGGAAGCCATTGGTAGTCGGCTTCAGTTTTATTTGCTCAAATTGGCAGAATCTGTCAGGAAAGAGGTTCAAGCATAAATGGTGATATTGTTTTACAATTTTGATAGCTCACACTTACTCAGTGGCACTGGAAAATAATGGCATTATGTTTTTGTGTTTTTTTGAGGGGGGGGGTCCAATCCTGGGGCCTGAACTCCGGGCTTGGGCGCTGTCCCTCAGCTCTCCAGTTCAAGGCTCGCGCCCTGCCACTTGAGCCACAGCGCCACTTCCAGCATTTTTTTTTGCTTATGTAGTGCTGAGGAATCAAACCCAGGAGGGCCTCATGCATGCAAGGCAAGCACTCTACCACTGAAACATCTTCCCAGCCCCTGGCATTGTGTTTTTTATCTGTAGCTTGAATTCACCGTTTCTTGCTTGAATTGAAGCTGCTACTCTACTACTTAAGCAATACCTCCAAATCCTACCTTTTGCTGGTTATTTGGAAATACAGTCTCCCTGATTTTCCTGCCCAAGCTGGCTTCAAACTCAGTCTTCAAGGTTTCAGACTTGAGTAGTTTAGATTTACAGGATAACACTGGCACATAGTAAACCCTTAGCAATAAATACTAAAGTGGTTTATGCTTAGTAGGCAAGTGCTTTACAACTAGGCTATAACTGCATTCCAGTAAATATATTACTGAGAATTGATTGGGTCATGTTCATTTTTAGGTAAAAAACCCAGGACCAAAGCACCCAAGATTCAGCGTCTTGTTACTCCACGTGTCCTGCAACACAAACGCCGCCGTATTGCTCTGAAGAAACAACGGACTAAGAAAAACAAGGAGGAAGCTGCAGAATATGCTAAGCTTCTGGCTAAGAGAATGAAGGTAAATCTAATGATTGTGGGAGAGGGGTGGGATGTAAAGCAGAACTGGCTTTGTTTGGATATGTGCTTCTCATAGATAAGATCCATAACTGTGTGCCCTTTTGTTTTTAGGAAGCCAAAGAAAAACGGCAGGAACAGATTGCCAAGAGACGAAGGCTGTCCTCTCTGAGAGCTTCTACTTCTAAGTCTGAGTCCAGTCAAAAATAAGAGTCTATAAATAACAAATAAATAAGACCTTAATTGTCTCCTTTATTGGCTTTATTTAGTGGGATAAATGGGGGGAGTCGTTTAGCAGACAAAAGTATATTTTAAAAAATTGGAATAGTGATCACTGCTCAAAGCCAGCCCGAGAGAGTCATCTCCAATAAACCACCAGAAAATGAGAAGTGGTGCTGTGGCTCAAGCGGTAAAGCTGAAGGACAGCACCAAAGCCCACAGTTCAAGCCCCACAACCAACAAAGAACTGGGATTGTGATTTTTCTAGAGTGGAATTTAAGATTTTTTTTTCAAATTTTTATTGTGAAAATACAGAGGAGCTACAATTACATGGGCAAGATGAGTACATTTACCGAGCATTGTTGCCTCCTTTGTTTCTCCTTCCTATCCCCGTCTGCCTCCCACCGCCAAAGTTGTAAAGTTCGTTTTTCAACATAACTACTTGTACATCTCATTGTTGCAGTGGGTCCACCTGTATCCCTATTTAAACGATTTCTTTCCCTTCCCCTCCACAAATTATACCAACAAGTACAGTGAAAGGATTATATCGTGGGGGAGGGAAATTTAAGATTAAGCATAAAATATTGAACATACTATTTTCAAAAGGTGATTGAATAATGGAAAGATGACTGCCAATATTGATCATGTTGGTGTTCTACCTGAGCCGTATCTACATTCTGAAAGTGAATGGAATAGGACCCTTAGGATCTGTTTTTGAAATGGTCTTAATGTAGCACAGGCAGGCAGTGAACTCTGGGAGAATCACAAGGTACGAAGGTAGCTTTTTTGTTGCTCACGGAGCCTGGGTTGCTGTCCCTCAGCTCAAGATGAGTACTCTACCACATGAGCTACAATATCACTTCCAGTTTTCTGATGGTTTATTGGAGATAAGAATCTCATGGACTTTATTGAAGGGGCTGGCTTTGAGCTGAGATCCTTAGATCTTGGCCACCAGCACCTGGTTTCAAGTAGCTTTAAAATGTAAATCCCAAATATAATAGCTATAATCCTAGCTATTCACAAGGCTGAGCATAAGGGTCACAGGGGAAAGCTAACCCCAGGCAGTAAAATCCTTAAAGACTCAATTGTGCCACCAAAAAGGTGCATAGTGCTAGCTTTCCAAAATTCATTGTGCCCAAGCCCCATGGCCAGCCACACTACCAGCTTGGTAGATTTGGTGAAGTGCAGTCTGGATTCAGTAGATCTACATTAAGCTCTTATTACGACACCCTACTTTCAGTTGGGACCCCTACATTTAGGTGGCAAGACAAACTCTAGACTCCAATTTAAAAGTGGAAATTACATGGTGGGGTATAAGCACTCTGAAGATTATCAGACTGGGTATAGGGAAATTGTCCTTGTTAACAACTGCCTTGTCTTGAGAAAATCTGAAATTAGAACTGGTGGCAATAATACTGAGCTGGGCAGCATGTGGGAATTAACTACAGAGTGTGCACACTGGCTATCATTGATTCAGGTGGTTCTGTTATGGATTGTGATGTTGTTAGAAGCATGCCAAGAGCGAACTGGAGAAAAGTGAATGCGTAATTTTTCTTCAATAAAACTTACCAGAGCTTTTGTAAGCATTATGCCCACCTTTGGTCCTCAGCTCCACCTAGACCTGAGCTCCTCCCAGCCCTGGAGTTCCCAACAAGCAGCTGGCCCCTCCCTCTCTCCACCCAGACCCACCTCTTAGAAATATGGCTCCTCTAATCTTAATAATGATCTTTATCCTGTTCCTGCTTGCCTCTGCATGGTCCCCTGGGATGGATGTGAAGGATACTTTCAGCTTTCAAAACAAAAACTCTAAACTATGGTAATTTCCTATTAGATATTTTTGCTACACAGCAAAAAAAAATTTATGCTCTTTCAGTTGCTATGGTCAAGCTATAAAATTCAACTGAAGACAGTTCACAATACCAAGCTCGGGTTTTGCTAAGCAATCTAAAAGTCATGGTTCAAAGTCAGCTCAGACAGGAAACTCAGTGAGACTTTTCTCCAATTAACCACCAAAAAGGAGCTGTACATCATGATAAAGGGCCAGTTCTGAGTGAAAAAGCTGAGGGACAGCACACAGGCCCTGAGTTCAAGTCCTAGTACCAGCATAAATGTTAATGTTACAAAAAGATTTTGTTTTTCCTTGGCTCCACAAGATTTCTGCCTTAACTTCACTGGGATGGGTATGTGCCACCATGCTTTCCTATATTTTCCTACATGTGTAGAGACCTTGTTTACACATTAGTAAAGAAAGTGGTGAACAAGTTATTTCAAGCTATGAAGAAGACAAGGAAAAAAAACATACTGGGATCCCAACAATTCTAACTACAGGTTGCAAAGACCCTTAAAATGTAACAGACAAGCACAGTGAATTTAAAATTATTTTTCATTTTATTCAGCTGCAAGTTTTATATGCAAGTTAAATCCAAAATGTGTTGGGTCAATAAGTGTTCTAAATTGCAAAAATATATACTCCTGAGACAGTGCAAAAGATCCAACTTGAAGTTAATAAAGATGTACACAACTTCTGATAAATTCTTTTTTTAGCATTTTAACAAATTCAGACTAGAATTTTGCATAGGTCAGATTAAACTTCAAATGTTGAAACACTGATACAATAACTAATTTTTAAAAAGGTTATACCATATAGTAGGATTTGTGCTGTTAAGTGTATCAGATGGAGGTAATTATTTTGTGTGTCAACTGATTCAGTCACCTGCATAATTATTGTAAATTCACACACATACGAACTGTTGGGTTTTAAATGTAGAGTTAAGGCAAACGTATATTGTTCATAATGGATGTTTTTAACAAAAAGCATGATAAATGTCAAAAGTAAGGCATGTGAGGTCATAATTTTCTTAAACCTACTGGCAACAAGCTCAATGAGCTTTAGTTTTAAGACTTAATTCAACCTAAAAAAAGTATTTACAAATGCACATTTTTACTCAAAAGCATATAAATCTAAATATTGTACAAGAATAAAACATGTTTGCAGTGCAAGTTTATCCCACAGGTTTAAAAAAAGTGGCTGATTTATGTGCCTGAAAAAGAAAAGATTTCAGGACATAAACTATACACTTGTGCATTTTAGGCATGTTCCAAATAACTGTTATGAAGTTAATTTTAAGGCTACTGCAAATGAACACAGTATTGGAAGAATATGGAAGTACCTGGATATTCAAGATATAATTCATTAAGCAAAATAATTCATAATAAAAAGGTGATATATATATATATATATATATTAAAATTTTAAATCAAGGAAGGCAGTTGTCATGACTTTTAGGTAATTTAGGGATTAATGACTACAGATTAGTTTAGCAGTAGTCATTTAAAAGGCAATGAGACAACCCTTTCAGAAAACTATTGCAACATGCAATTTAAGTATTTTAATAAATATACACTTATACACATAACTACACAACTTCCCTACATATATAGTCACACAAATAGTTGCTCTTACAATTGAAATATTTCATTTCCTTTGAGGTTAGGCAAGTTTGATTTGCCATTCCCCAAATCTTTCAAAAATATAAACAAATATAACAAATGCTTCAGATGACGGGGTTTTTCTTTTCGCTATTACTATCCTACTACAAATATTGTGAAATCCAAAAATAGTTTGCAGCAGAGAAAAGTTTAGGAGTTGAAACTTTTTCAACATCAATAAACCTAAGGACATGTTAATGGCATTTTTAGATGATTCAGTGTGAATTACCATTTGAGACATTTCAATTTTCACCATTTCTTAGGATTTGGAAAGCACTTCTAATGTTTCCAGACACAATCTGTTCCCCTAGCACTGTGTTGAAAGCCAAATGAATCATTTACTTAAATGAGAGGCGCTCCAAAACACTTCCTGCACCACTCCGCGCTGATACTTGGTGGGGCATCAATTCTCTGTAACTTTTTAAGAATCTCTGAAGACAGACTATTGTATGCAAGTCCATATTCGTTGTCAAAAGCCTCTGAAAGACATTTTCAAAAATGTAGTTGTAATTGGTTAACTGCAAATAATCAAGTTCTGCATATTCAAGTCAGACATTTAAAGATAGTGATCTTTCTAAAAACAAGTATTTATATATTGGCTATCACGTCTGTTTTTCAGTACTAGGTTGAATCTGGACCTTTGTGTATACCACACAGTCTACCACTGGGCTAAACATTTGACTAACACCATTCTACCAGTTACAGTGAAAAAAAAAAAAACCCTAAACTTTATCAAATAAGAACCACTCTAGTAATCCCTCACTTAACAAACTTACCAATATCAATATTTTCTCTTCCAAGAGACACTAATGATAAGAAAAGGATTTCTCTGTATAAACTCCTGTAAAACAAATGTATTTTGAAAGTTAATGGGCAAATAATATAAAATCATGTATACACAGATGTAGGCTCATTTAAAATATTAAAAACAGATTAAGTTCTTTAGCATTTTGTATGACCAACAATTATGTAACCACATAAACATTCTGGGTTTGCTAGCATACTACAGGTATATGAGATGTCTTTTGAGGAGGGTGGAAAATGCTAAATTGAATTCTGTGCTATTTTTGCAATGTCCTGTGTCTGTTTCAAAGTCTTGAGAATTGGAGATGGAGTTCAATTGTATAGTGTTTGCCTAACATTCTCAAAGCCTGGGGTTTGATTGCCAGCAAGGGAAAAGAAGGAAGAAAGCCAGGTGCTGGTGGCTCACGCCTACTCAGGAGGTTGAGATCTGAGGATCATAGTCCAAAGCTAGCCTGGGCAGGAAAGTCCAGAAAGCAGGAAGTAGAGCTGTGGCTCAAGCGGTAGAGCAATAGCCTTGAGCTGAAGAGCTGAGCCATCGCACAGGCCCAGAGTTCAAGCCCACGACCGACAAAAAAAAAAAAAAGGGAAGAAAGGAGAAAGGGAGGAAGGTAGGGAGGGAAGAAAGGAGGGAGCGAAGGAAGACAGGAGGGAAAAAAAAGGAAAGTAGAGGTCATAAAGCTTTATTTACTTCAATGACAAAAAGAACTTGTAACTTTATTACAATTAAAAGTATAGTAATATTTAACTAAAATTTATAACTAAAATTTATAATAGCAGAGTCTTAAGTCTCTTGCCATCCAACGAAGTAATGATTTTGGAGAAAAGGGTCTTTTAACCCTTGGACAAAAGGTAAGATGTGGTATTGCCTCTTTATTGCTCATCCCAATAGCAAAGAATAAATTAAATTATTTTTATTTGGTGTGAACATATGAATGTAACAAAGTTAAACATTAAAAATGAGTTTCGCAGTTGGGCCTGGTGGAGCACATCAGAACATAAATCAAGAGGATTCAGTGTTCAAGGCCAGCCAGGGCTACATGAGATCATAAATCAAGAAGAAACCAAACAAAACCTCCCCAAAACAAGTGGAAAAGAAGAAAAAAGGAAAAAGGAGGAAAAAGAAAAGGGAAAAGGACAAGGAAAGGCTTCACAACAGCTAAAAATAAAGAGCTTGTAATATGGCTCAGTGGCCCTGTGTTCGCCTAGCATGCAATAAAGCCTGGATTCAATATCTCCAGCACTGCAGAATAAAAAAATTAAAAATAAGGATGAATGGGAAACTTAAGAGATAAACTAGGGGCTGGGAAGGTGGCTCAGTGGTAGAGTGCTTGCCTTGCATGCATGAGGCCCTGGGTTCAATTCCTCAGGACCACATAAGCAGAAAAAGCTAGAAGTGGCGCTGTGGCTCAAGTGGTAGAGGGCTAGCCTTGAGCTGAAGAGCTGAGGAACAGTGCCCAGGCCCAGAGTTCAGGCACCATGACTAGCCAAAAAACAAAAACAAAAACAATTCCTCAGCACCACATAAGCAGAAAATAGCCGGAAGGGGCGCTGTGGCTCAAGTGGTAGGGCGCTAGCCTTGAGCTGAAGAGCTGAGGGACAGCGCCCAGGCCGAGTTCAGGCCCCACAACTGACCAAAAAAAAAGAGATAAACTAATTTATAGGGAGAAAAAAAAATAGCAACTAACACTAATTCTATGACACCTCATGTAGCTTTCTTTACAAAAAGCCAGAAACCATAATAAGACATTTCTGGTATTACTTCCTACTCTTAAACTACAGACACATACACTTTAAACTGTAAAGAGGTCATCTCTACCTCCACGGTTGTAATCAGTGAATCCATTCATTTTTCAGTCAATTCTTGCCCTATCATTTCTGAGTTTATCTTCAAAGAGACCGTGAATGAGAAACATTAATAGTATTCACAGGTAATTGAATTTTCAGAAGCTTCTACTAAGCTTCGACTCAGCAAGACAGGCAGGGATCAGTACTGAGCCAGTTTAGCTGACACTAAAGGACCAACACAGTGTCAGATCCTTTATAGAATATTGTTTCTATCACTTTCCTAAATTGTTTCGACTTCTAATCCTAATCCCATTTTATATATATTACTTATTACTAGTATTTGAATTCAGAGCCTCAACTTCCTAATCTGGTGCTCAACTGCTGAGCTACGCCTCTGACCCTCCATACTTTTACAATGAACAAAAAAGTTCTGTGTGTAATCACAGGGCCTACCTGAGTAGCACGTATGTTTACTGTTGTTAATAAATTCACAAATCATTTCCAATGAAGAGCAGCAGTAGTTTCCAAAATATACAGTGTATCTTAAATTTCAATGATTTATTATCCTAAAATTTAATCTGTGTATAGGTATTTTATTATATCTTTGTGTGCAATCATGAAAGGATATATTTGGGTAGCATTTATCACAACAACAAATACATATTAGGCAACAAATACATATTTCTTTTACAGATATTTTAAAAAATAGTATATAGGCTGGGTGCTGGTGGCTCATGCCTGTAATCCTAGCTACTCAGGAGGCTGAGATCTGAGGATCGTGGTTGAAAGCCAGCCCAGCCAGGAGAGACCGTGAGACTCCTATCTCCAATAAACCACCAGAAAACCGGAAGTGGCACTATAGCTCAAGTGGTAGAGCGCTAGCCTTCAGCTGAAGAGCTGAGGGACAGTGCCCAGGCCCAGAGTTCAAACCCTACCACCGACCAAAAAAAAAAAAAAAAAGTATATAAATTTAAAACTTCAAATTGAGTTGCATCAAGTAAAACATATGAATACTATTACCTTTGTCTTTTCATGTCTGGTTTCACTTGCTGGGAGAGCAGGCGGATGGGCCTAAGCACATCATTATGCCGAATACTCTGCCTAATAGCTTCTACCAAAGTGCTTGTGGCTTGTTGTTCCTCTGACAGAAGAGACAATTTCTTTTCAGAATCTAATAATAAGAACACAGTCAGATTTTTTCCAATTATCAATGAAATTTTCTTTTCCAGAGTTCTGTCAATTTCTAGTTGTCTAGTAAACATTACCTCTCTGTTGACTGCAACATTAGGTGACAATATGCTAACTAAAAAATTACTCTACCAGCCAGGTGTCAATGGCTCACACCTGTAATCCTAACTACTCAGAAGGCTGATATCTGAGGATCACTGTTTAAAGTCAGCCTGGGAAGACAAACCTGAAAGAATCTTATCTCCATTTAATCACCAAAAGCCAAAAGTGGAGCTGTATTGCTCAAATGGTAGTACATTAGCCTTGAGCACAAAAGCTCAGGGATGCCCACACGTGTGCATGCACGCACGCATTTACACACACACACACACACACACACACACACACATTAATTTTCCTGCTTTCTTAAGATAATGGAAATCATGGGCTGGGAAGGTGGCTCAGTAGTAGAGTGTTTGCCTTGCATGCATGAGGCCCTGGGTTCCATTCCTCAGCACCACAGAAGCAGAAAAAGCTGGAAGTGCACTGTGGATCAAGTGGTAGAGTACTAGCCTTGAGCTGAAGAGCTGAGGGACAGAGTCCAGGCCCCACGACCAACCATAAAAAAAGATAATGGGGACCTATCCCTTTCCCCGCAACATTATAGTTTCTTACCTGAGGCTGAGATGTGATAGCTAATTTGAACTCCAGCAGCCATCTTGTGGTCATGAAGCAAAAACTACTGATTATAAAACAGACACAAGGATCCTGGTCCTCTGATGGCAGAGGAGTTTGCCTACTTATCCTAAATTTTCTTTTTTTTTTTTTTGTCAGTCGTGGGGCTTGACTTTGTTCTCCTAAATTTTCTAATTCATTATTTCTTTAAAATTGTTTCTTTTCTAATTGAAAAATAAAGATGTATGCTATACAATATATAGTTTGTAACATCTTTATATGAGAGAATAATCTTACTTGTCTAAGCCTCTGTCATTTCCTACTAAACAAAAAAGTCTAATCCTAATTAGGACAAATATATTTCTAGAGCTACTTAAGGCAAACATTTATACAGATCTTACATTATAAAAGTGCTTTAGTCATAAGAGTGGAGTGGAACCATGCTAAAATTAAACCTATAAACTAAAAAACAGGTGTTTAGCCAGGATAAAGTAAATACAATATTTTAATATGGCAAGTAATTCTGGGAGCTAACTATGTTAGTATGAGAGAGTAATGTCTACACAATAGCTCCCCCGTCAGCCTCATTTTAGTGCTTGTCATGAAGTAATGTAGTTTTTATGTAACACAGCTCCAAAATAAACCAGTAACAACTTATTTTTTTTTGGGGGGGTCCGGTCGTGGGGCCTGAACTCTGGGCCTGGGCACTGTCCCTCAGCTCTTCAGCTCAAGGCTAGCACTCTACCACTTGAGCCACAGCGCCACT